TGCCCCGCCTCCACCCATCCCAGCTGCACCTGAGGCTCCCTGCCACATTATTCCGTCTCTCACTCTGGCTTTCTCCCAGGGGTAAATTTGAATACATTCCCTATTTACATATTACTTATCTTTTACGGTCTGTTTTTTATTAACCGAGGTCCCCCAAGCTCCCTCCTTTTCTTCCCTGTTTAAGACCCACTAAAATCTACCTTCTCCATACATCTACCTAGCCCAAGTATGTTTAAAAGAAGAAAAAAAAAAAAAACTGTTCTATTTAATTCATATACAAAAACACATTGAACAAATAAATATCACAGCAAAAAGTAGTAAATATACATGTCATTGTGCTGCCTCTGCTTTGGGGGAAGAAGGGCAGACGATGCCCGTTAGCGTCAGTGGTCATCAGCCTCAGCTCGCCACTTTCTTAAATACATTAGAATATAATGTTCATGAATACATGATGACACTCAACCTCCATAACTCCATGAAACCTCTTGGACAAGCTACTTCTTGTACAGTGAGTCCCCTCCGTTATCCAGCCAGGCTTCAGGTTCTTCTGGATACTTTATTGATTCTTCTTATAACCAACAGCTTAGCACGGTTATGCCTCTTAGTTACAGTTGCCTGGCATTTCAGCCAGTTTGGAGCATCCTATGGCGGCAGATGATGAAGAGGATCAAGTGACAGCAAATTAAGCAGAAGGGCGGATGGAGAGAAACGGTCAAGCATCGTGGCTGGGTAGCAGAATCTTGCAAAAGAAGAGCAACTTTGCTTACATTATTGTTGTTTTTGTTGTTGTTGTTTTTAACTATGAGAGCCATTACAAGCGACGAGGCGTGGCTGGCTGCAAGTTGGATGGAAAATAGCTACTTTGGAAAACAACACAACACCTGGCTTCTTCTAGCAAGAGTATAGTGGTTTGATTATTTGGAGCAAACAGGACAAGAATGAAATCCTTCATGGAAAAATATACAGACATCCTGTCAACCTGCAATGTATACCAATACTATGAACTGCAGATGGACAATAACACATGGTGCTGTTCACCTATGTGTCTAGTTTGACAAAACTAAAGTCTAGAAAAGCATTTGGTCAAATACACACAGAAAGTTGCATATTAAACCATCAGAGAACCAAATGTGTTATCTGATAGATCGGCAAACTTACTGATCTGAAATGTTAAATGTAGGCCTATTAAAAGATGAATAAAATGAAAAGGGATTTGGACAATTGGACATCAAAAATGTTAAGTGCTTTACATTGTTATTAAATATGTACATATTGTATTATGTATTTTTTATTATGTATGTATATTTGTAATTTATACATTAAAATAATTGTATTTTTCATTGCACACAAAACTATT